ACATCCTCCCATTCCCTTCTTATCAGAAATGAAAAAAACTGAGGCACATGAGCACACGGCAAAGAACTGTCCAAAACTCAAATGCCTTACAGTTCCACATCCAGAACCCTTTCTAGTGTGCCATGCTTTGAGAGATTTTAACAAATGGTTCTCTCTGTAAGTCTAAAAGAAATGTAGCACTGAAATAGAAATGCTAGTGAAAAAAACATAGTTAGAATACCCAAGTTAAAGGTGAAAGGTTGGGTGACAGCTCTCAGGTTTTATTTTAGTTTGTGTTATTGTTGTTGTTTTGATAGTATGTTATATAGGCCAGGTTAGAATCAAACTTGTAGTTTTCCTGACTCTGCCTTCCAGGTGTGAGGGTTAAGACCTGAGCTACCCCAGCTGGAAGGCGATTCTTGACTTTTAGCTGAGGCAAATATTATTGCCTGATATTTGTAATCTCAACAATTGTGGTAACATAGTAATATTTACTGACAAGCTTTTTTTTCTTGCTCCTCTTCTGTGTCACCTCCAGCTGTCAACCCCTCTTTGCTGGGGGAGACAGGTCATTGAGTTCAGCCTTCCATACCGCTCCTTCCAGTCTCAGTCCTGAGTAAGTTAAAAATACATCTTGATTCTCCTTGATTTTCCATTAGGATTGTAAAGACTCTAAATATATGGTCATACGCATTGTGAAGGAAGATGTCCAATCAAAGTGCATGAGTGTAGCAACAAGTGGAGGCTGTTTGTGGCTTTTAGGCATCCTTACCCACAAGCAGGCCTGTAGGCATGGTCTGCTGGCAGGGGCTTAGAACTGGGAAATGGAGGTATGCATATCACTGAGGACAAGTGTCTGCCGGAGAATGAGGATGGTAGAGTGGGGTGCGCCCCAATGTTCTTCCATTGTCACATGAATGAATAGCACAATTTCTGAATCGTTTCATCTTACGTGTGTGGGTGGTGGTATGGGGCATGGGGTGGAGGCGCCTGCTTCATGAAGGGAGTGGATGGTAAAATGACATTACCATTTCACATGGGTAGAGATGGTGCCCAGCACTGAATACCATTAGTTCAGGGAATGAGCTGATGAAGTCTTTCTTGAGATTATTTTAGAATAAGTAATTTTAAGGCTTGGGGGGATGTAAATTTTGAATTATGATACCTACCAATGCGTTTTTGTGAGACTAGTGGAGACCATTCACCCATGATAGGTAGAAGCATTTCAGAAGTACAGGAGATCAATGTGATCGGAAGAGGTTAGGCTGCTGTGGTGGTTTGAATAGGAACGGTCCCCACAGACTTGTGTTTGAATGCTTGACCCACAGGGAGTGGCACTACTGGGAGGTGTGGCCTTGTTGGAGGAAGTGTGTCACTGTGGAGGTGAGCTTTGAGGTCTCAGATGTTCAAGCTATGCCCAGTGTGGCACACAGTCTCCTTCTGCTGCCTGTGGATCAAGATGTAGAACTATCAGCTCCTTCTCCAGCACTGTGTCTGCCATGTTTCCTGCCATGGTGATAATGAACTAAACTTCTGAAACTGTAAAATCAGTCCCAATTAAATATTCTCCTTTATAAGAGTTACTGTGATCACGGTTTCTCTTCACAGCAACAAAACCCTAACTAAGAAAGGTTTTGAAAGAAGTATGTGTGTCTGTGAGCATGCACATACATGTACAGGCACCACCAGGCACATGTGGAAGACAGAGGGAGACTTGCGAGAGTTGATTCTCTGCTTCTACCATATGGGTTCCAGGAACAGAACTTGCATTGTCAGACCTGGCAATAAGCACTTTTACCTGCTGAGTCACCTCAATGGCCCACTTTAAAAACAAAAAGTACATTTTATTTATTTCTGATTGGGGGGGGGAGGCACAAGTTTGGCTTGTGTTTGGGTGTGCAGAGAGCTCACAGGTTCACATAGGAGACCAGGCAGTGAACAATATTACCAGAATGCCATACCAGAACTCTCCCCCACCACAACCTAAGAACACTGACATACGGGAATATGTATTTGGTAGTTGGGGAACATAGAGAAGTGACATATTAAATATTCCTTATCAATAAGATCAAAATTCACAATGGACACTGTTTGGGTTGACTCTTGCCCATTGGCTGGGAATTCCCCAGAAGAGCAAAGTTGCAAGAGAGACAGATAATTTCCAGGACTTAAAACACACACACACACTTATACATGCATGCACGCACATGCACACACCCCCACACACTCACACACACCATGTTCAAAGGCAAGGCGAGAGGTTATCAGTGAGAAGTGTACATTTCTTTCAGGAACTTGAGCTGAATTAAACTGTGTTGCAGACTAGCATTCTAAAATAAGAACACAATGACCATCCATTTTCATCTATAAGCATAATCATTCCTTTAGAATTAAAGATAGGGCAAAAGAAAAGAGAAGGATAGTTGCCAGCAAACCTTTCCCACTCTCTCTGTTCCCTTAGATCTAACCAGTCAGTCTCCTTCCTAGGGCTGCAATAGAATGCTAGCTACAGGGCAGAGGCTTTCAGATGCCCTCTGGCAGGTTCCTAGGTTGTTTCCTGTTTTCTTCTTCTGGCTTTCAGAGGCCCTCTGTAGCAGGTTCCTAGGTTGTTTCCTGTTTTCTTCTTCTTCTGATGTCCATCCTCTTTGCCTTTCAGGATGGGGATTGAGCGTTTTAGTTAGGGTCCTCTCTTTTGCTTTGTTTGTTTAGATGCACCGATTTTAGTGGGTTTATCCTATGTTGTATGTTTATATGAGTGAATATATACTGTGTGTGTCTTTTTGCTTCTGGGACAACTCACTCAGGATGATCCTTTCTAGGTCCCACCATTTACCTGCAAATGTCATGATTTCCTTATTTTTCATTGCTGAGTAATACTCCATTGTATAGATGTACCACAATTTCTGCATCCATTCTTCAGTTGAGGGGCATCTGGGCTGTTTCCAGCTTCTGGCTATTACAAATAAAGCAGCTACAAACATGGTTGAGCAAATGTCCTTTTTGTGTACTTGAGCCTCTTTTGGATATATACCTAGGAGTTGTATGGCTGGATCTTGAGGAAGCGCTATTCCTAGTTGTCTGAGAAAGCGCCAGATTCATTTCCAGAGTGGTTGTACAAGTTTACATTCCCACCAGCAGTGGAGGAGGGTTCCCCTTTCTCCACAACCTCTCCAGCATGTGTTGTCACTTGAGTTTTTCATCTTGGCCATTCTGATGGGTGTAAGGTGAAATCTCAGGGTTGTTTTGATTTGCATTTCCCTAATGGCTAATGAGGTTGAGCATTTCTTTAAATGCTTCTCTGCCATTCGATATTCCTCTACAGAGAGTTCTCTGTTTAGCTCTGTTCCCCATTTTTTAAGTGGATTACTTGGTTTGCTGCTTTTCAGCTTCTTTAGTTCTTTATATATACTGGATATGAGTCCTCTGTCAGATAAAGGGTTGGTGAAGATTCTTTCCCAATCTGTAGGCAGTCGCTTTGTTTTGATGACAGTATCCTTTGCTTTACAGAAGCTTTTCAGTTTCGGGAGGTCCTATTTATTGATTGTTGCTCTCAGAGCCTGTACATCTGAAAGCCTCTGCCCTACAGACTATCAAAACAGATGCTGATCCTGATGGCCAACTGGCGGGCAGAGTGAATGGAATTTTATGTAAGAAGTGGGAAATAGCAAGAGCTGGAGAGGACAGGAACTCCACAAGGAGAGCAACAGAACAAGAAAATTTGAACACAGGGAACTTCCCAAAGACTCACACTCCAACCAAGGACTATTCATGGAGATAACCTAGAACCCTTGCACAGATGTAGCCCATGGCAGTTTAGTGTCCAAGTGGCTTACATAGTGATGGGAAGAGGGACTGTCTCTGACATAAACTGATTGGCCTGCTCTTTGATCATCTCCCCCTGAGTGGGGAGCAGCCTTACCAGGCCACAGAAGAAAACAATGCAGCCATTCCTGATGTGATCTGATAGACTAAGATCAGAAGGAAGGAGAGGAGGACCTCTCCTATCAGTGGACTGGGGAGGAGCATGCATGAAGAAAGAGGAGGTAGGGTGGGATTGGGAGGGGAGGAGGGAGAGGCTTATGGGGGGGGATACAAAATGAATAAAGTGTAATTAATAATAATAATAATAATAATAATAAAAGAAGAAGAAAAAAGAATGCTAGCTACAGCTTCCCGAGTCCCCCTCTCCTGTGGAGCCCATAGACTATCCCCTCCTGACCATCCTCCCTAACTCTGAAGTGCGTCCCAGCCTCCAATACCATCGGGCATTCCCTGTGGACACACCAGCCAAACAAGTCAGTAAGGCAGGCAGCATACACCCATCACATTCTCTGAAAATCCAGACAAAAAAAAAAAAAAAAAAAAAAAAACAGAAATCAAGGAACAAAACACCCAACCAACAAAGACAGACAGCCTCTAGACCTATAATCACCCCAAACCCAGATACCTAGCTGCTCATATAAGAACACAATCAGTAACAGTCAAGACAATATGTCTCCACTAGATCCCAGCTATCCTACTGCAGCAGGCCCTGAATATTCTATCATAGGTGAAGCACAAGAAAGAGACCTTAAAAACCAAATATATGAAGATGATAGAGGTTCTTTAAAAGGAAATGAACAAATCCCTTAAAGAAATCCAGAAAAATGCAAACAACTGGAGGAAATTAATAAATCCCATAAAGAAAGCCAAGAACAAACAAACCAACAGTTGAAGGACACTAATGGAATTGTTCAAGGAGGCTCATACCTTCAAGGAGAGTGTCCAAGTGCCAGGGTGCCTTGAAGGAAGTTCTTCATGGGGTTCACCTGGAAGATGAACGGAGGAAGAAGTACCTAGGAGAATTCATCTGCACCTTGAGCAAGGCCAGCAAGTTGCTGGCAGACACTGAGGTGGTTTGTGAACCCCTCACTGCCCACATTGACTTCACCAGGCAGAAACTAGATCCCAAATTTGCTGTGGCTGCACAGAACTGCTACAAAATGACCAGTGGAAACTTCACTGGGAAGATCAGCCCTGGCATGATCAAAGACTTAGAAACCACGTGGGTAGTACCAGGGCACACGGAGAGAAGGCATGTCTTCCGGGAGTCAGATGACTTGATTGGGCAGAAAGTGGGCCATGCCCTAGCAGAGAGACTTGTAGTGATCTCCTGCATTGGGGAGAAGTTAGACAAAAAGGAAGCTGGCATCACCAAGAAGGTTGTTTTTGAACAAACCAAGGTCATCGCAGGCAATGAGAAGAATTGGAACAAAGTCGTCCTGGAATATGAGCCTGTGTGGGCCATTGGTATTGGCAAGATGGCATCACCTCAGCAGGCTCAGGAAGTACATGAGAAGCTCGAGGGATGGCTGAAATCCAATGTCTCTGATGCAGTAGCTCATGGCACCGGATTCATTTGTGGAGGTTCTGTGACTGGAACAGCCTACAAAGAGCTGGCAAGCCAGCCTGATATGGACAGCTTCCTGTGGGTGGTGCTTCTCTGAAGCCTGAATTTGTGGACACCATCAATGCCAAACAGTAAGTCTGCCCATCTCCCCTACCTACCTGCTAAGCCAAGAGTAGGCTGCTCAGAAATGTAGTTAACTGCTCCTACCTGTCACCTGTTTCTGATGATGTCATCTGCCCCATCTTGTGGCCTAATCCACACTGTACCTTCCTTACCCTTTTTTTTAAATGTAACTAAAGATTTTATTACAGAAGTGTGAGAAATGCTTAATAGACATATAAAATGTACTCCATGAGCTTGTTAACTAAATGTAAAGTGAACTATTTTTCTTTTTTTAATTTATTTATTTTTATTAATTACAGTTTATTCACTTTGTATCCCCCCATAAGGCCCTCTCTCCTCCCCTCCCAGTCCCATTCTCCCTCCCCCTTCTTCACGCATGCCCCTCCCCATGGTCCACTGATAGGGGAGGTCCTCCTCTCCTTCCTTCTGATCTTAGTCTATCAGATCACATCAGGAATGGCTGCATTGTCTTCTTCTGTGGCCTGCTAAGGTTGCTCTCCCCTCAGGGGGAGGTGATCAAAGAACAGGCCAATCAGTTTATGTCAGAGGCAGTTCCTCTTCCCATTACTATGTAACCCACTTGGACACTAAGCTGCCAAGGACTACATCTGTGCAGGGGTTCTAGGTTATCTCCTTGGTTGGAGTATGAGTCTCTGGGAAGACCCCTGTGTTCAACTTTTCTGGTTCTGTTGCTCGCCTTGTGGGGTTCCTGTCCTCTCCAGATCTTACTATTTCCCACTTCTTACATAAGATTCCATGCACTCTGCCCAACAGTTGGCCATAAGTCTCAGCATCTGCTTTGATAGTCTGCAGGGCAGAGCCTTTTAGAGGCCCTCTGTGGCAGGTTCCTAGCTTGTTTCCTGTTTTCTTCTTCTTCTGATGTCCATCCTCTTTGCCTTTCAGGATGGGGATTGAGCATTTTAGTCAGGGTCCACTCTCTTGATTAGTTTCTTTAGATGTACAGGTTTTAGTAGGTTTATCCTATGTTATATGTCTATATGAGTGAGTATTTACCGTGTGTGTCTTTCTGCTTCTGGGACAGCTCACTCAGGATGATCCTTTCCAGGTCCCACCATTTACCTGCAAATGTCATGATTTCCTTATGTTTCATTGCAGAGTAATACTCCATTGTGTAGATGTACCACAATTTTTGTATCCTTTCCTCAGTTGAGGGGCATCTGGGCTAATTCCAGCTTCTGGCTATTACAAATAAAGCTGCTACATTTGCTGGTTGAGCAAATGTCCTTATTGTGTTCTTGAGCCCCTTTTGGATATATGCCTAGGAGTGGTATGGCTGGATCTTGAGGAAACGCTATTCCTAGTTGTCTGAAAAAGGGCCAGATTGATTTCCAGAGTGATTGTACAAGTTTGCATTCCCACCAGCAGTGGAGGAGGGTTCCCCTTTCTCCACAACTGAATCTTTTACACCTCCCTATAATGGTTGGAACTAGGCTACTCCCTTTATGACTTACAATGGTTAGAATACAATGTCACCTATTTGGCTTCCTGGCTGAGGGGTGGAAGGAGTGTCCCTTCAGGCCCTAGCAAGGGAAAGAGAGTGAAATCACCTTCCATTCCCTTTTCAGTGTACACTAAGGCCAAGATCAGTTCCCCCTAATAGGCAGGATGATCCCCTCCCCCACAGTGCTGAAGACCTTCTACCGTGTTTGTGAACCATCGTACTTGTAAGGGAAATAAACACCAGGCCCGAAAGAAGGAAGGAAAGAAAGAAAGAAAGAAAGAAAGAAAGAAAGAAAGAAAGAAAGAA